GGTTACTTTGTTGGTTGGTTTTCTTTGTGCCTGGTAGAATGGTCTCTTCCACTTTATATTTAGCTTTGCTTGCACTCCTCCGTGGTGCTGCTGCTGCCTCTCATTAAATACGAGCCGACAAGGTGCTAGAAAAAACCATCATTGTTCAGCCTAAGCGTTCTTCAGAAGTTTCCTAAGAGAAAGCTTGCTGGATTTGAGCTTTCCTTTTGTTCCTGCGTGGATGGCTTCCCTGTTCAGCCACCGTGAATAAGGAAGTTTAGTGTTGCAGCAGGTGACTGTGCTAGCGCTTCATGTTCGGAGGCTTGGGTTCAGATGAGATGTCAGATTGCAAATGAAACAAATTTGGTTGCAGCTTAGACCCTGGGGGAAGTAGGTCAAGGGCACACACACGCGTACCAAAAAAAGTGTGACAATTTTGGCATGAATATTTCTCTCCACTCACCAGAGGGGCTTGGTATGCAATAGCAAGGGATGCATTAGTGTAACTGCGGAGATGCCCAGAACTGGAATTTAAAGGGAAGGAGAGGATTGCATGTTGTAATGGAGGTGAATTGGTATTACTGGATGTGGGGGTCCTCACCTTAAAGATCAGGGAAGGCCAGGACTTGTGGGGCATCTGCAGATCTGTGTCCATGCCCAGAACTGGCATGATTCGAGGGGGTCTTTTGGTTAGGATGGAAATGAGATGACAGACTGGGTGGGTGTATGTATTTGTGTGTGTCCCAGGGCTGTCCATAATGCTTGTCTGTGAAAGGGCAGAACGAGTGCTGGCTGCTGGAAGTGCAGGTGCAGTGGCTGCACAACATTGGGAGGAGCCAGCTCTCCCCCAACGAAAGGCTCCACATGAATTGAGTAGACTCTCAGGCTGAAGGCCTTGGCTGGCATGAGCCAGTGAGGGGTCTTCTGGAGAAGGCTGGTTACAGAGTGTCATGCAGTGCAATCCAGTTGGCCTGCGCTGTCCCTTTGGGCACCTAATGAGAACAGACAACCTGCGTTGCCAGGAACATGGCCACGGATGGCAGTGACTGCAGACAGCTGGAGCTCATCCCCTCTGGCAGGAGCAGGCACTGCCACGTCTGCTCTGCTCACTAAGTGGTTGCCCTACGTTGGGCCAGGGGAGGCCAAGTTCTTGGCCATCCAGGAAGTGAAGACCCTGGAGAGTATTGCCTTGCCTGGCAATAGAAAAAAGATGAGGGCGCTGCTTATGTTCAGAGCTTCTCCCAATGCAACCATCAATAGTGCGGCTGCCTTCCTAGGAGCACTGCAGAGCTTTGGCCAGATTTCACAAGATCTGTTTATCCTGAGAGTCTCCCATCTGCCATGAGGGCAGCTCAGCTGTAGGGAGAGCCAAGTACATAAAGATCCCTTGCTTGAATGGCAGGGATGCTCTGGCTCACAGCCTAAATACCTTGTGAAGGAACTGTTGCCCAGGGCCTGGCTGCAACCTGCCTTGTGCTTGGCTGGGCTATTAAGACCCTCCTCTTACCCATGCCTTGTTTCCTGTCAAAGCACTTGAGAGGAGATAAAGTGAACATACCTGATGAAGGAATAAACCCTCTGAAAGCACAAAACTGCAGAGCAGTGAATGCTGGAGCATAATAGAAAAAGCAGCCGTCTTAGAGATGAGAGCTGTTGCAAGGAGAATGGTTGCAGATATCAAACTGAAATGGATGTCATAAAACAGCCGAGCCCTCCTCGGTAATGGAAAGCTGAGTAATCGCGTGATATAGGTACTAGTCTGCTCTTACGGCTTGCTTTTACTGCATGTGCTTTGTAAAGAAAAAACCTAGTGCTCTCACACTTCTGGCTTCCAGTATTTGGCCTGCCACCTTCCAGTATTTGGCCTGCCACCTACTTGCCCTCTTACCAGGTTTGGATCCTGCTGGTAAAGGTTGTTGGAGTGGTCTAAAGGCATTTGGTGTCCAGCTCACTTTGAAAAGAGGGTATGGGGTCTCGCTGTCTCCGGACCCTTGAAAATCCCAGTCTTGGTACATTCTGCAGAGTGGTAGACGGACGTGATCGCTTCCCCCACCGAGGTGCCAGAGCAGTGGGGTCATCCATTTGCAGAGGGAAGGATGCAGGGTCTGGGTTGAGCCGTCCTGGGGGAAGAGCCCTGAGCCAGAGGAGAGGAGCTGGAGTTGGTGGTGAATCGCTGAGGCAGCAACGCAGGTGGAGGTTTCATTCATTCTTAGTTTTTGTTAATAGATGGAAGGAGGGGGAGGGATTTTATCAGAGCATGTGGGTTTTATGGAAGAGGGTAGGGATGCAACTTCGAGCTTCCTCTAGAGCAGGGGATGGCCACTGTTTAGGAGGGGCAGGCTGAAGCGACACAGCGTGGCCTGAGCTGGGCTGGTGCCCCTGACCTGTACATTGCCGCTGAATGGCTGCCGAGCCCCCACTTCTGCTGCTGCTATTCAGGCTTCGTGGACCGGATAAAATTGCTCAGAGCTGGATCTGGCCCATGGGCTGTGGGTTGCTGACACCTGTTCTGGAAGAGCTCGGGCTCAGATCCTGCACGAAGCTGAGCACCTGCGGATCAGGTCCGTTGTCTAGGACCAGACCTGTCTTCAGCAGCTCAGAGCCTGCCTGACGCTCTGTTTTCCCAAAGACAGACACAAAGCCTGTTTATTATTATTTCCACCCCCTGCTCCCCTGCCTCCACCTTCCATTTCTCGGAGATCTGCAGCTTTTAAAGAACCAGCTCTCTCCTTGTGCGCTGATGCGTGGTGATGTTTTTCATCCGCTAATAGAGTGTTTTCCAGCTCTGCATTCTTATTTTCAAAATCTCCCTTCAGTCAGGCGGAAACCAAAATTACCTCCCCAAGCAGGTGGGCACCAAATAGCACCGCTGGGGAGGGCAGCCATGGGGGGAAAGAAATGGCACCACAGGACATGGGATGCTGGGGTGGGGGGAAAGGGAGGGGGGCAGGGAGTTAGCATCTTGACACCACTGCGTGTGCGTGAGAGAGAAAATTACCATCAGCAATATGCAGAGAGTGCAACTGCCAGCAAGGAAAGCATACGGAGGAATTAAAGGAAGGGGAAAGGGCACCAGTAAACAGGTGTGACTTTCATAGGCCCTACCTGTAACAGTCGATACTATATCGAGCTCCCTGCTTTATGCAACCAGAAGGGATCACTTACATTGTAGATTAAGATTTCTTTGTCAGATCTTTTTTTCCCTACCCCGCCCTCCCTTGCCTGGGACCACGGATGAAGTTATAAAGGACCTAGGCAGTGCGGGGGTCTGTGCTGCTGAGATAAGATGGCCATTAGTTAATGAGAAACTGTGCTTTAGGTGGCTGGTTCAAATCCAGCTCACGCCCATCGTGATCCAAGGGTCTGACCAGAGAGCAGTTAGGCCTTCACAGGCAACAATGTTGAGTCTCGAAACATCTGCTAGTGTACACGTGGTCCTTCCACAAACCCCACAACTGGCCTCCACGTGGCTATGGAGCCTATGGTGTGTGAGCTGCCCTTGAGCCCCCCCAGTGAACCCTGTTGGCTGGAGTGTGGTAGAGAAACTTGCACTGCTTGAGACCAGCCCTGTGGCTTAATAGGAGTCCAGTCCCCTGGTGTCAGGCTGCAAAATATTGCAACGTGTCCTTTCTACTAGAGGGTTTTCTGTCGAATGCACCCACAGCCATCATTTAGTCTCTCGGTGCAGCGGTTGGAGGGCGCAGGGTGAAGAACGCGCTCTGCGCGCACCTGCTCTCCCTCTCGTTCTTTCTTTGTTTTTCTTTAATCATTCATAGGAGGCAACAGGACTGAAAAGTGTGGGTGCAGCGGGGGCAAAGGGGTTAAATGTTGGTTGTTTTTCTTGCACAAGGAAAAACCTATAAGTCCCCTACCTCTCACTTGGATTTCAAAGGGCCTACCAAAAAAAATGCAGTGGAATTCCCTTGGCGGTTGCAGTGGAGTATTAATAAGCATGCTCTTCCTAATGCTGACGGGTGTTGGAACAGAATCTGGTTAATTCAGGGAAGACAAAATGCAATTTTTGACAAATAGCACAGTTAAACCAGGCCAAATAAACCAAGTTCCACAGACAGTGCCAGGAGCAACAGAGAGGGAAGTATTAAAACAATAAGTAAGCTAGGGGCAACAGGGGGAAGCATTAAAACAATAAGTAAGCTAGGGGGAAACCAGAGGCAGTTCTCTTGATTATACCTGAGCTAATAATGTGTGCTCTCTCCAAATGAAGTAGTCTTTTATGTGCAACATCTGCACAGGAGAGTCTGCACCCAGGGGACCCAAAGAAATTATCTGCCCATTTAAAAGAAATACACTCTGAAGCGGAGCTGGGGGCTTCTCCAGCCTGTTCACCTGATGGCAAAGCAACAGCATCCCCAAGCAGCTGAGAAATGGGAGATTCAATGTTTTCCTAGCAGGTGGGAAGAGAAAGGACTTAAGGAGAATGGATGGAAGGAGATCAGGTGTTGAGGCTGCTGAACAAAGACAGATCCTGGAGTGCTGGCTGGTGTGGCCACACTGAGTCCCCCCAAGTGCTGGCCTGGATGTGGCAGTCGTGAAGTCCCACATGTGCCCTCCGGGTCCTCGCTGGATCTCATTGCTGAGCTCCCTGCACATGAAATCCCCGAAATTCTATAAAATTCTGCAGAGTTTGCAAACTGTTTGAATGAGGCACAAAGCCCAAGGTCCTAACAGCACGTATAGACCCTGGGACAGCTTTGGTAGCATGAGCGGCTTTTGACCTGAGTTTCCTGGACCGAGTTCTGATTTGTAGGTGACTCTTCTCGCTGCTGAGCTGAAGTACAGAGCCTCAGTTCAAGTCCTGCCCTGACCCATCTGTAAACGAGTACCTGGTTTTTCAGCCATGGGAGCCAAAGGTGGTTGGGCATGACGGCGGCTGCATCACTGTCTCCTGGGATGCTGCCTGTAGAGACTGGCCTGTGTTAACTGTGCAGAAACGCCTGGGCCTTTGGACTTTTTTTATATTCTGCTTTTCTAAATATGTGACTGCCTGCTTCCATCCACAGTGTGAACTGGATATGATGGTCTTTGCTTCATGCCCTTGGCAGCTGCTGCCTCCCACCCCAGAGATGGCTGCATTTCATTGATGGATGAGACTGACTCCGGTCTGTGTGGATTCTGGCAAGCACTTGGAAATCCTTCAGGATGAAGGCTAGGCTAGAAATACCAAGGATTATAAGCATAGCTGACTGAATAATGAAATCTGTCATTTTACACACCATTTATTTACCCAGTGCATGAAGAAATCTACAAATAACCGTACTGGGTGCATATTACTGAGACATTTTTAGAGCTGGTGGATAAATTGATGCCTTTGTTTCTGATTAGTTTTGCAGGGTTTTGCAGACCATCCTTTTGTCCAAACCGTGTAAGAGGGTTACTTGCTCGGCTCTAATTGCTGTCACTCGTGGAGGAAGAACCTGGCAACGTTCCCCTCCCCGGCTTGTACCGCATCTCTGCTCTTCGCTTGCTGTGGTGCTGAGCAGCCCCTTGGACAAAGCTTCCCCCTGATCTTCTTCCAGCCTCAGGGGAAGAGTCCCTTCCCTTCCTATTGGAAGTGACAAAGGCTGGGTTTGTCCTGTCAGTTCCTGGCGTGTGAACTGCTTCCCTTCCAGTGTCAAGATTGTCCCCCTGATTCAGTCAGAAATTCAGGTTGACAGAAGTCCTCTGCAGACTGTTTCTGTGGTTTTTTTCCACCTATGGGTGCCCAGCATCTTTGACACGACTCTCCCCAGCCAGCGAGCAAGTGCCCCTCTGGTGCAAGGCTGTCAGATCAGTTTCTCTTAATCACCGGGATAATGTTCCTAGCCAGCAACTTCTGAGTGACCCCAGGCCGACAGCAAAGGGAGTGTGAGAGAGAGCAAAGGTTGATTATCCCTTCAAAACCCGATGTTCAGTCCCGTTCTCGTGGAAGAGGGAGTTCAGCCGAGGAAAGGAACGGCGAGAAGAGCCCCAATTACCGGTAATAAGGAGCCATGGGAGCCCTGCTCTGTGCAACTCTGCTGGTCCAGGGGTTGGATGGATACTGTGATTGGCTTGCGAGGGGGCACATCTACACGAGACATTTACTGCAGAGCTGACTAATTGGCTCCGCAGTAAATGTCTTGTGTCGGCACGTGTGGCACTATTAGGCTGCAGGAAACTAACTAACGCTGCAGCAGGGTAGTACTTGTGAATGCAAGTACTACCCTGTTGCGGGGTTTATTCATGCACAGCAGTGCACGTGTAGATACTGACTGGCTGGCTGGGGCATGAGGGTGCTTCGGTGCGGGGGCTGCCTGCCAGCTAGCCCTACACCTTGTGCTTCAGCCAGCCCCTCTGCACCACACTGAACTGGGTTGTAGCAGCCCCAGGCTGGCAGGCTGATGCCTCGGGCTCCTTGCCAGCCGGGGCTCCTTCAACCTGGTTCAACATGCTGTGATCCTGGGTGGCCATAAAAATGGGGTGCCCGGGAGCAATAAACTCTGATGCAGTAGGCTTATTGCTCTGCTCTAATTGCATGTGTAGACACACAGGGGGGGGGTCTACCCATCTGAAGTAGAGATTCTTGCCAGTACCAAGAAATCACCCTAGCACTGCTGCCCATATCAGATCTGTCCTGAGGATAGAAGTCTTCTCCAGCACTGACTGGTACTGGCATTTAGTTCTATAAAATCGCTTTGATATTTAATGAAATGAGGAGGAAGAAGGTAGCCTGGTTTGTGGTTCAGGCAGGAGCTGAGCTCTCTTCCCATTCCTGCGCCAGACTCCCTGCATGACCATGGAGAAGTCTTTGACTTTCTCTGCAGCTCAGTTCCCCAGGTGGAAAGAGGCAGCGCCACAGAGCTGCCACTGTGATCCACATTGTTTTACTTATCTGAGCTCTTTGGGGCTGGGGCTGTCCCTCCGGCTTTGTATTCCTGTTTGTATTCCTGTTTGTATTACTGTTGAGTGGGCCAGAGAGGGCAGCCAGGATTTGTTCCTCGCAGTAATGGGATGTGCCTCTTGTATCACCCTCTAAGGTCTGGTTTACAGATAGGGGTTAAGTCTGAGTGACCTTGTGATAATAGGCCTGTTCTTCCCACTTGGGAAGGAGAGGCCAGAGGTCCAGATTTCAGTCTCCGCAGAGGCCCAGGAAGCCCCTTCCTGTCCTATGTTCCAGATGTCTGCTCTTTTCAAGCTGCACTGGAAAAAGACTAGGAGCAGGGCTGTCAGCATGGGTTAATTGGAGCAGGCACATCCATGCCTGCTTCAGTTGGTTGAATGCCACCCTTAGCAGGTCCTGCCTTGCTGCTATCAACCTGGTGGGTAGGAAAGGCCTCAACTGTTCTGCTGCAGCATCCTCATCTCAGTGAAAAGCATCCAAACGCTGAGAGTTTTTTTGATTGCATGGAGACCCCAGAAGGCAGCCCTAACCTGAGAGCCTGCTACCATTCATAACTTCAAGCTACTAGGCAGGTGTTTGTGAAACCCCTTGGGGCCTGATCCTGCATCCCTCTGGCATGCCAAGCTCCCATAGCCCCCTTGTCACCCTGAGGAACAGGGGAGCAGGCCCTTGTACCCTGGGCTGTAATCCCAGGGTGGGTTTATTCCTGTGTCATCTTTGCTTAGTTTCCTATCCACCCAGCACTTCCAGAATCCATTTTCTTTTCTGCTTGCTGGCCTAAATTGGGAATAACTTCCCAAGAGTCACTGGAGTTGCACTGATGGGGGAGGAAGACTCCAGGCCATGGAGCAGGGACAGCATCACGTACAGGTGGCAATTCTCAGTGCCAATGGCTAGGCTTAGTTATCCACATCCCCAAATCTTCCTGAGACAGCCTCACCCTGCAGCAGGGCCTGGTGTGGGCTTTGGCTGGATGAGCAATGTGGCTTTCTTCTTTTCCCCTGACTGCTTTGTCCATGTGTCTTCAGGTTCCAGTCTTCTCCCTGAGGCTGACTCTCTAGCACAGGGGTGGGAGCAGCCCCCACTTGCAAGGCTGGCATATATGGGACTGCTTTGGGGGTGGGAAGAGAGGTGAGGAGGGTTTTTCCCATCCCTTTGTGGGGTAGAGGCAGTAAGATCTTACTCCATTGTGGAACCTGCCTCCACATGTTCCAGCACTGCCTACCTGTGTTCATCTCCTCACTTTGCAGTGCTACTATGGATCCTTTATAATTAATAATTACCATGATAACTTCCTTTTTTATTCATACTGTTGTATCCAGGCATCCCCAGCTGCCTCACTGGTGCTCATGAAAGCCTCCCAATAGTGCAGCAGGGGCTAATTGCACCCATTTCACAGAAAGAGCAGGAGGGAAGAGGCCTCAGAGAGTTGAAGCAACTTGGCCATGCAGCAAGTTTGGTGGCAGAGCTGGGAAAAGAACCCAGGAATCCCGATTCTCAGGTTCAGTGATGCCAAATGTTAGATATCAGAAATACAGAGATGGGTTTAAAAATCACAAGACTAATAACAATATGCCCTTTTCATTTGCCCCTGGATTATTGAGCCTATTGGATGGGGGAGTCCTATTTCCAGTTATTTTTGGCAACCACTGGGGCAGAAACTCTTTACTGAAGCTGAATCTTGTATAATCCCATGGCTCCAGGAGCTTGAGCTTTAAGAAAAACATATATTTTGAGACTCTTTTAAAAAGAGAGAGACTCGGCAGTGCAGCATTCTTGCTCTGACCAGCTGGCTCATGCCATGCTGTTTCTTTCATCGTGATCACTGCAGCCTCTGAATGCCTCTCGTTAGGGAGTGAAGCAACATGATTCCTGCTCGCTCTGTTCTTAGCATCTCCCCTGGGGAGCGGTGTGCAGGGGAGGTTTTGTTCTGTTCCTCTTATACATGTGCATACAGGCTCGGTGCTCTGTTTCTTACAGTAGCAGTGTTGTCAGCTCTTGCAAACTCTCCACTAGTGACAGGATTAAGGCCAGGGCTGGAGCTGGTCTCATGATGACATGAGAGCATCGGTCCTCATGGGAATTTGAGGCTGCTTGCTGAGGAAGTTCCCCACTGATTGGCTGCCTGCTGCAGTGCCCACCTCCTGGGGTCAGAGCAGCCAATTGGGGTGGATGAGGGTGCCAATAGTTCCCTTTGCTGCTGCTCATGGTCACTACATGGCTCAGACAGGAGGGGAGTGGGGAGCAGGAGCAACAACCCAGCAGCTCAGGCTGGATGCACTCCTTCCTCTCTCCTCCTGAGAGCCCCAGGGGACAACTCCCTTGCCCTCCTCTCTCTGTGTGCCTGGCCTGGAAGGTGGACACGGGTCCCTGCTACAGCCACTGCCTCCCACCCCGGGAGGGAGAAACCTGACATGCCAGCTCACAGCATGGGCAATCAAGCTGTATCTCCAGCCGTGGCTGCTGTTGGGTGGACCCCTACTTCTGCCAGGGCCACTTCTACCCCAGTGCCTGAGGGTGAAGGGCATGAGGGAGGGAGCACCCAGGCTCTTTAGGGCTACTCCTATCTCTGCTTGCTCTGGGGATGCATTACTGGTTTCTTCTGGCTTGACAGTCTGTGCCGATACACCATTCCCTTCCTTGCTGTGTGGGCTGAAGCCTTCAGCAGAACTGACTGCATCAAGTAAGTTTCTTTGCACTAATTGCCTTGACAGCCCATGAAGCCCGGTGAAGTGCCATGCATTCTCGGGCCCTGCGAGAAACCCACACAAACATCAATAGACTGTCACTTCCCTCCAGCGCATTTTTGTCTCATAATTTATAGACGAGAGGGGAATCTCTGATCAGGGCAGAGGGCCAGTGCCTGGCTTGTCTCTCTTGCAGCTGGGTGGCAAGACTGAGCTTAGCCAAGTGACTCAGCCCAGGGTTGAAGGTCAAGCAGGGTGTAGTGAACCACCCCCCAGCACGTGACACAGGGTTACATGATGAAATGAAAGGCCAGTAAATGGAGACATAATAGAAGGGTGCTGCTTTGGGTAGGGGTGTCCAGCTGGCTCTGATTATTGTTGCCCAAGGGAGAGTTGGGTTGTCAGTGGCTAGATTTAAAAGGGGACTGGATAATTTATGACCGGTAATAGGTTTCCTAGCTGTGCTGGTTTATGACAGGGCATGAACCAGGGCAAGCAACCTGCCCTGCCAGCAATGCAGCCCACGTAGGGAGGAATCTCTTTGCCTTTATTCTTCTGCCGCAGAGCCCCAGGGCAGAGCTGTATTTGGAGACCTAAGTCTTGGCCTCGGCTCCCAGTTTAACTGCGCTTAAAGGTACTTCCCATAAGATTTGCCATATTCTCCTGTCTCGGGGAAAATAAGGGTATGCGAGCACAGCATCACAAAAGTGTCACCGGTGAGCATGCTAACGTGTAGGCTTAGCAGGATCCAGCTTTTTTATTGGTAAATATAGATTTCACCTAATGCTCACAGGCCAACGGGAACATATTTCCATTGGTAATCACTGACATTCACATAAAGGAGATGTAAAAAAAAAAAAATAATTCTGGGATGGAAATTCAGGGCAGAGGGTGCTGCACGTGTATGCATGTACATGACGGCTGCTGCAGGAGGCTGTACCAGTAAGGCCATGCTGGGAGTGGGGGTTAGAGGAACAGGGCTGGTAAAAGTGGGGAGCCTGGTGCTGCTGGCTGCTTGCTCTGCCCAGGTCCCAGCTGCAGCAGGGACCAAACTCCTGCAGAGGCTGGCCTGGCTTCCACTGGGGTTTGGCCCTTGCCCTGATCATGCAGGGGCCAGGTCAGGCTCTGCAGGAGTTTGACCCCTGTGTGACCGGAGAAGGGACCAAACTCCCGAGGAGGCTGGGTCAGGCCAGGCTCCGTAGGATTTTGGCCCCTGTCCTGGCTGGGATCTGGGCAGAGCGAAGGGCTGGCAGCACTGGGCACTACCAGCCCTTTCCCTCCAACCCCCACTCCCCACGCAGCCTTACGGGCCTGGCCCCCAGCTCCTGCAGCAGCCTCTGTGTGCGCGCATGCTAAACCAATAAAAATTGAACACTGCCCCTATTTTTGCGCAATCCTGAAAATGTCAGT